TCCCCAAAGACGTTGCGCCCTTTCCGAGAGGGTCGGGCCTTCAAGGTGATCGCCGGACTCACCAATTTCGACCCGGAATCCGTGGGCCGCATTGCGCGCGCGGCTGCCCTTGGGGGTGCCACCCACGTGGATCTGGCCGCGGACCCCGATTTGGTCGCTCTTGTCAAGAAGGATGCTTCCCGTGTGCGCACGGTGGTCTCCGCCATCGACCCTGAGAAGTTCGTGCCGTGTGTGGAGGCGGGCGTGGACATGCTGGAGCTGGGTAATTTCGACGCTTTCTACGCCTCGGGCCAGCGCTTCTCCTCCCTGGACATTCTGGACCTGACCAGGCGGACCCGCGAGCTCTGCCCGCGCACGCCCCTCTCCGTCACCATCCCCCACGCGCTTGCCATGGAGGAGCAGGCGCAGTTGGCGCTCTCCCTCGCCACTCTGGGAGTGGACGTGATCCAGACGGAGGGTGCCCCCTCCATTAGCACCATGAGCACAGGCATTCAGGCCTCGATAGAGAAGGCTGCCCCCGCCCTAGCCTCGACGTATGTGCTCTCCCGGGCCCTGGCCGGCAGGACGCATGTCATGGCTGCCTCGGGGATGAACGAGGTGACCGCGCCCATGGCGCTGGTTTCGGGCGCGCGCGGGGTGGGAGTCGGGAGCGCCATCACAAAGCTGGACTCGGAGGCTGCGATGGCAACGAAAGTGCGGGAGATCGTGCGGGCGCTGCAACGAAACAAGGCGCACAGTGCAGAACTAGAGAGGGGATATGAGTGCAGACGGAATTTGAGGTATCTTTTTCCTGTTTTCTTGTGATCGCAGAGAAAAGGTCTTTTCTTACGTGGAGAGGGAGTATTGTAAGGCTGAGTAGTACGGAAGGTAGGAGTGAGGAGGGAATCACAAAAGGACCTGATGGAAAGTCTTGCGGAACCCATCGTGCACGCCCATCATGATTCACAGCGGCAAAAACAATAGCCGACGATGGTTTGAAGAAGGTACAGAGAGTTTCGGTCCGTGTCATAGAAGCAAAGCCATAATGTTGAGATGAGCCTCGTAAAAGGACGGTTCTTTTTTCCATTTTGCGTAGCACTGCGTAGCACTTCTTTTCGAATAGAAAAGCATTTCTACACTCTCTTGACTAATTGTGACGAGTCGTGTAGCCTCCAGCATGGTCACAGAAAGCGAAAGATGACCTATCCTTGCCCCGAAGGAGAGGAAATTCACCCATCATGTACGTCGGGCTCTAACCACTGATGGACGCCTGCGCGACTATTTTTCCCTTAACCCGTAAAGACATGAATTCGTAGCACGCACAGAAAAATATCGATTCATGACATAAAATTTCAACACATACGATCCGTTATTAATTTTTCGTAGCCCCTCTGCAACTTAAGAACAGCCATCGGAGAGAATGCTTTAAACAATTGATAATTTGGTACAAGAAGCAAGGCCCATGCTTCATATTGCGACCAGACAATACACCACATTTCTACAAAGGATAAGACGACCCGCGGACATGGTGGGACGCCCGCTAAAGCGTGCATGCGGGCACCCTGCGGGCAGTCACCCTGATTTTTGGAAGGAGGTTCCACTAGAGGGTGCGTGGTCCCTGCAGACCGTCCGAACGAGCGAGGAGCTGTGCCCGCAGCGTCCTTTCGCCTTGACGCCCCATGCCGAGCCTTCCCGTTATTTTCGTGACATACACTGATTGTAAGTGCAAGATTAATTGTATCTATATAGTCTACTTATGAAAGTCGATGAGACTGGGCGAAAGAAAATTGAGACATTCGGCTCTCGTAATTTGCATTTCCCCTCCTGCCCTATTCCGAGTTGCTGTTGCAGGAAGTCTTCGTTGCTCGGTGACGCTCTTCTTTTTGGCGTCTTTTCTCATAAAATGTGCGCATATTTTGGGTTATGCTAAGGCCATGTTAGCAACGCGACAAGCTTTGTCTTACCTTTGATGGCATCATTTTTTTGGAATGGGCTTCGCATGTAGACGTGTGCTTGAACTTGCGCCTTCCCCCCGCTTGGCCCACAGGAATTAAAGAACATACGTTTGACACCATTGTCCGCGTGTATCGTCAAATCAGGACTAATGTTGATTGCATATTGGGATAGTTATACAAATGATAAGAATAATTGATGGCCTCGTGCTTTTTCCCAAGTCCTCTCAGTATGGGGAAGTCCTTGGTCTTTCTCACTCGGACACCTCCCCTCGACTACACAGGTCCTTGTGCAAACATGAGGCTCCTCTTCTTTGTCCCTCTTCTTCTTTTGGGATGCAGAGCAGACAGTGTTATCACCCCCTGGTCGCTGGCAATGCGTACCCATATCCAGCAAGCCCAATTAAGCAACAGTGATGCCTCTCGACTCCTCTCCATGCTGCATGTGGCCCAGCATTTGGCAGTCCAAGACGTCCTTCAGAGGAAGAATATCCTCCCCGAAGACGAAGAGAGCATTCGCGACCCCGATTTACAGCCAGATCTCATCGCAGCTGTGGCAGGGGCGGGAAAATTTGTAATGGACCGGATGGCGCCGGCTGCGGGGGCTGCCACGGACCTGCTAGTATCATCCCAGACGGAGATCCCCAACGTCTCCTCTCGACGCATTCGAGACTCCAAGGCCCAGGGCTCCAAGGTGGCAGAAAACATGCTGAACATCCGATTGAACGATGCGAGTGACCGGGCCATGCCGGAACCGAACGTGGGAAGCCAAGAGGAGGGTTTTTGGCGCCCCACTCCTCCCGAGTTCTCGCCGGGCGCTGACTACCAGTGGCCCCGGGTCACGCCCTGGATCTTAGATCCTAACGCTCTCCCTATCGACTTTCGCATGCCTGTTCCTGCGGCCACATCCAGCGAGATCTACAAGACTAGCTTTGACGAGACGATCGCCTTGGGCTCAAAAGTCTCGGAGGTCCGCCTGGCGAACCAGACTCAGGCGGCCGAGTTCTGGGCAACGGGCCCGCAGGAGCTGTGGATGCAGGTGCTGGATCAACTGACCATCAGATCTGATCCTTTTCCCGAGTCGCGACCGGCGGAGCCTCGTACTGCCTTCTTGCGGCAGGGCGCAGGAGTCAAGGAGGCGGCCAAGGAATGGGGCAATGAATGGAACAACCAGTGGAACAACGACCAATGGAACAAGGGCAATGAATGGAATAATCAGTGGAATAACAACCAGTGGAATAACCAGGGCAATGACTGGAACAATCAATGGAACAATAATCAGTGGAATAACCAGTGGAATAACCAGGGCAACAACCAATGGAACAACAATCAGTGGAACCAAGGCAATGACTGGAACAACCAATGGAACAACAACCAATGGAACAACAATCAGTGGAACAACCAGGGGACTGACTGGAACAACCAGTGGAATAACCAGTGGAACAACCAGGCCAATAATTGGAACAATCAGGACTGGAATAATCAGTGGAATAACCAGGGAAATGATTGGAACAACCAAGGGAACAACCAGTGGAATAACCAAGGCAACAATTGGAACAACCAGTGGAATAACCAAGGCAACCAATGGAACAACCAATGGAATAACAACTGGAACAATGCAGCCAGCAAGGAGGTCGTAGACGGGGCGGCCGCGAGCTGGGGGGCTGCGGTCGGAAGCGGAGAGGGAGCATCCGGCTCTGTCGTGGAGAAGGTGCCCGATGTGACGGACCCAGCCAAGGAGTGGGGCAACGACTGGAACACGCAATGGCAGTGGAACAACCGAGGACCCACTGGCGGTTGGAACAACCAAGGCAACAACTGGAACAACGGTGCCAACAATTGGAACAACCAATGGAACAACCAGGGCAACCAATGGAACAACAATTGGAATAACCAAGGCAACAATTGGAATAATTGGAACAACCAAGGCAACTGGAACAACCAATGGAACAACAATTGGAACAACAATAATTGGAACAACCAGGGAACCAATTGGAACAACAATTGGAATAACCAGGGCAACCAATGGAACAACAATTGGAACAATTGGAATAATTGGAATAACCAGGGCAACCAATGGAACAACAATTGGAACAACAATTGGAATAACAATAACTGGAACAACCAAGGAACCAATTGGAACAACAATTGGAACAACAATTGGAACAATAATAACTGGAACAACCAGGGCAACCAATGGAACAACCAGTGGAACAACCAGTGGAACAACCAAGGCAACCAATGGAACAACAACCAGTGGAATAACCAAGGCAACAACTGGAACAACGGACAAGCCAATTGGAACAATGCCAACAATGGGAACAACCAGGGCACGAATTGGAATACCATGGCCAGCAAGGAGGCACTCGCTGAAGCAGCGGTTAGCCCACAAGCCGCGGTAGAAGGCGTTGAAATCGTCCCAGGTGCTGTGACAGAGAAGCTACCTGGGGTACCGGTCCCAGCCAAGGATGATTGGAATAACCAGAGGGACAAGCACGAAGAGGACTGGAAAGGCAATGATTGGGATGGCAAAGGCAATGATTGGAAAGGCAACGACTGGGATGGCAAAGGCAATGATTGGAAAGGCAATGATTGGAAAGGGAATGATTGGAAAGGCAATGATTGGAAAGGCAACGATTGGAAAGGCAACGATTGGAGAGGCAACGATTGGAAAGGAAATGATTGGAAAGGGAATGATTGGAAAGGCAACGATTGGAAAGGCAACGATTGGAAAGGCAATGATTGGAAAGGCAATGATTGGAAAGGCAACGATTGGAAAGGGAATGATTGGAACAACCCGTGGAATAACCAGTGGAATAACCAGTGGAACAACCAGTGGGGCAATAATCAGTGGAACAACCAGTGGGGCAACAACCAATGGAACAACCCGTGGAATAACCAATGGAACAACCAATGGAACAATCAGGGCAACTGGAACAACCAGTGGAATAATCAATGGGGCAACAACCAGTGGGATAATAACCAGTGGAACAACCAATGGAACAATCCGTGGAATAATCAATGGAACAACCAGTGGGGCAACAACCAATGGAACAACCAGTGGGGCAACAACCAATGGAACAACCAGTGGGGCAACAATTGGAACAACCAGTGGAACCAGGGGAACAATTGGAACAATGGTTGGAACAATCAATGGTACAGCCAGAGCAACGGGTTGAACAGCACCGGAGGAGAAGACGCCCTTGACCAGATGAGAACGACGCCCGCAATTGAAAGCAGCAAGGATTCGGCGGCCTCCGTCTTGGCGCCGCAGGGCCCAGGCGACAAGGAGGCCGACAAAGAATGGGGCAATGAGTGGAAAAACGACTGGAACAACCAGGGCAATAACCAGTGGAACAATCAGGGAAATCAATGGAATAACCAGGGTAATAATCAGTGGAATAACCAAGGCAATCAATGGAATAACCAGGGTAACAATCAGTGGAACAATCAAGGCAACAATCAGTGGAACAATCAAGGCAACAATCAGTGGAATAATCAGGGAAACAACTGGAACAATCAGGGTAATCAATGGAACAACCAGGGAAATCAATGGAACAACCAGGGCAACAACCAGTGGAACAACCAAGGCAACCAGAATAATAACTGGAACAATGGGGCTACTGATTGGAACGCAGCGAATGGTGGTGCTGACGCTGGAAACTGGAACCAGGGCAACAACCAGTGGAACAACCAAGGCAACCAGTGGAATAACCAGGGCAATCAATGGAATGCTGCCAACGGAGGTGCCCCTGCGGCCAACGATTGGAACAACGGAGGGAACAACCAGTGGAATAACCAGGGGGTCCAGGGCGCCAATTGGAACGACGGGGCAAACACAGCCCCCGATACGACCAACAATTTCAACAACGGAGTCAACGCCGGGAACGGCGCAACCACTGCGAATGGATGGATGAACGCTGGCAATAATGGGGCAGTGGTCGGGAAAGAGGGCATGCAAACAGCCACCGGAATGGCCAGCAACCTTGCTTTCAACGTGGCGGCGGCGGCCCGGGCTTACGCAATGGCCAGTGTGGCGGCGATGGACAACCGCATCGTCACCTTGGACAACAAATATTTCTTCGACACCTGGAGGCCTGTCACGGCGATCCGGCTGAACGCTGATCCCCCACAGCCAGAGTGGGAGCCGCTTTTGGTCACGCCCGCCACTCCGGAGTACCCAAGCGGGTACGGAACGCTGGCGGGGGCGATGGTGGAGGTGATCAAGACGGTGGCAAACAACGGCTTGGATGAAGCGCCCTTCATGCTGGCGCTCAAGGGCGCAAATGGCGAGCAACGGAACTATGCGACCTTGTCAAGCATCGCCGAGGAGAGCGCCGCTTCACGCGTCTATGGGGGCCTCCAGTGGGCCCACACGACCGCCCCCTCCTTTGGCTTGGGACAACAGGTTGCGACCGCGGTGTTGGCTGGCTTTGACACCATGTACGCGCCACAGGCGGCTATTGAGACCATGAACCAGCAGTATCATCTGGCAGAGCCCGTGCAGCACGTTCTCCTACCTGGCCCACAGCAACGGGGCAACCGACATAAGAAGAAGCGTTGGCATGGTCTACGGATATTCAAGTGAAAAGAGAAGAGGTTAAAAAAGATGAGATTGACCGCTTTCCACGAAAAGGAGCAACTGGAAAATTTACTGAATGTGTATTATGACGATATGTTGTCCTTATTTGGCAAGGGGGGCGCCGTGGGGAGGAAAAAAGCACCATAAAGTATTCGACGCGGACTCTCAGGTCCCCCCGACCAGCACTTGGCCACCGGCAAAGGTGAAAAGAGAATGGGGGGCGATGTGAGCGGCGAAGGGACAATGACTACGTGTTAATCCTGTGAGTCTTATGGGGGAAAACGCACACGGATGTACATTTGAGAGGCCGAGGCGGCTTGTAGATAGCACCCATGAGCGACAGCAAGGCTCGCAGCGGACACACTCTTGTTTGCGGTGTTGCATGGGGAATTACGTGGATCCCATCCGGGTGTCTTCCTGTTAAATGGCCTTCGATATTCGCTATTACCGTCTGATCGGACTGCGCTGCTCATGCATATTTTATTTAATTTGGCACATGTCTTACATCCAGCAGCCTTTGGCGGGTCCGTGGGGCGGTCGCCGCCCTGCCCGCGCTTGCGTCGAGAGACGTGCAGGACGGGTCTGGGGAAGAGCAGGGGAGAAAGATAAAACGAAATAAAGAGGAACGAACTGCCCAACGCCCGTGTGTCAACATTCTGCAAGATTGATGTTAATTTTGTCGCGCTTACCCAGTTCTCGCACCTGGGGTTGTCGCCCCTAAATACCCCCCATCCTTCCTATCCCCTCATTTCCCACTCCGGGCATCCGCCTCCTCGCTGCTTTCACCCTCTCCTTCCAACTCGAAGACTACCTCGACACCGTCTTTCTCCTCCTCTTCCCCTTTTCTGTCGGTCGTGGGTGTCTGTGACTGTCCCGCCCTTTCCCATCCCGCCTTCTCCCCCACCCCCGCCGCCACCTCAGCTCGGGCAGCCCGCACATCGCGCGCAAGTGCAGCCAACAAACCCTCCCGCTTCTCCTCGTACTCCCCCACCGCCCCCTCGTGCTCCGCCTCCCCCTCTCGCTCCTCCAGCCATGTCTCGACCGCCTCCGCCAACGCCCGGGCCTCGGGACCCGCCCCCGCTTCCTCTCCTCCCTTACACCGGTACACGAGGCTCTCGAGCGCGTTCTTTGCCTCCAAGCATTCCTCTACCTCCCGGTCCACCGCCGCCATGGCCTTCTCGACCGCCGTCCCTGACTCCAGCTCCTCCTTGCTCGGCAAAGCTCCCGCCTCCCACTCCGCCCCAAGCACCTCCTCCTCCGCCGCCGCTTTCCCTCCTCCCTCCTGTCCCTCCCCTCCCTCCGTCTCTCTCTCAGCCCAGCGTGCGATGCGTAACGGGCCCAGGGATGGGCGACCCCACGCGTCCAGCTTCAACCACGTCCTCAACCTCTCCCCTCCCCCTGCCCCCCGCCCGGCCGCCTCCACGCTGTTTGAAAAAAGGCGCGAAAATCCCCGCGCAGCCACCAAGCCGCTCCCTTCCTCCTCCACGCGGACCTCCAAGCCCCCGCCCCCCTCCACCTCTCCCTCCTCCTCGTCCTCCCCGTCCATCTCCACCTCTGCCTCATACCCACCCTGGGGGTGGTGGCGTAGAGGCATTCCCCGCTCTAGCCGCGGCAAGAGCAGTCGTCCTTTCCCACTCCTCACTTCCAAGGAGCGAGGGAGGGAGTCCCACACCCGAAAGGGTCTCGCCAGTCGGAAGGCCTCCGAGTGCAGGGCTGCCGTCAAGGCGCACCCGCGGGCAACGGCTTCAGCGGCGTTCAGGGTCCGCCGGAGGGACGGGGGGGGCCGGAAGGGGCCA